CGCAGGCATTAAAAGAATTTATCCACTCGGTTACAATTTTCTTACGTTGATCTCTCATTTGTATTGTTTGATTAACAATGTCTCAAGTTCCAAAGAGTGTTAGATTTTGGATGAAAATGATTTAATCAAATCATCTCCAAGGTAGGTTAATCGATTTTATATTGTTTAAAAGGCATATCTCTCTAAAGTAGGTTAATCGGTTTATATTGTCCAAAGGACAAATGATATGCGAGTATTTTTCATTTGAAATATAACAGATACTTGACTTTAAAGCAATATAAAATTAATTTAACAGATATTTGACTTTAAAGCAATATAAAATTAATTTAGATAATTGAATGTGCAATGTATCAAACGATAATCGGGCCATAGTTTAACAAAATAAAATATAATATTTCCCACAAATTTGAGTACACGCAAAACAAATGAATTCTTAAAAATTGGAAATGAGCGGTTTGGGAATATTCTCTCTTTTTTTTTTATATATTGGAAAAAAAATTATTTTATTTTGAGTAATATATGCAAAATATATTTATATTTTTAAAAGGTAAAGCAACTTTTTCAATGTCGTGCACAAGGAAAATACTTTTAAATAAGTTGTGTCTCTCTCCACCTTTTTGTGCGGCAAATCACCACAAGTAAATCTATTTTCTATTTTTTTTTCTATCATATCTTTTTTTCTTTCTAAGCAAACGGCCCTAATAAAAAGTTAGTGGGAGTCTGGGAATAGAAAATCGAGTAATATTTTGTATTGATCATTCCTTTTGAACTTGTAAATTACTCCTCAAAAAATTTCAAGTTGACAATAGAAAGTTATAATTTTTCGTATAGTACCCAAAGTGATACTCTAATCTTCCTCGTATTCTACATATATTTCGTGTTCTTCTTGACTAATGAAAATTGTTTATTCCTCAAAAAAACCAAAAACGTGCATGTTCTTGTGATTTGAGCTTGAAGTTTTGAAAAATGTTGCCTACCTAAGATCTTTTGGTAATTAAGATTAATGTACACAGAACTAGCTAGTATTAGATTATTTTTGTTCTCTCAATGTTAGATCTCCTGGTTTTTATCAGTGAATAATCTATTTTAATATAGTGGGCTCCATTTGAATTCATGATAATTGATCAAACCATAGTTGATAAAATCACATATTATAGTGGATTTTGAATCTTGATTGCATGATAAGCAACATTATTTTTAGTGAAAGCCCAACCGGCAATGCTTAATTTAATTAGTCACCCTTCATCTTTTTCAAATAAGAGTATTAAGGGGTCGACCTTTGTTTATAAAGACAAGAGTAATGCTATTTAAACTTTAAAATCTGACCTAATTTATTGACCTAGTGATGTGGTTTTAGTGGAATTATTAGATCATCACCAAGTTCTAATGATTGAACAAAAGCTAAGGGAGCGAATGACATTAGATACCCCAATAGTCCTAGTCATAAAAAATGGATACTAGGCGATGTGTGTATCGACATATGTAGTGCTATAGCTAGTATGTTAAGTATCTCGCCTGGGGAGTACGTTCCCAAGAATGAAACTCAAAAGAATTGACGGGGCCTACACAAGCGGTGGAGCATGTGGTTTAATTCAATGCAAAGCGAAGAATCTTATCGGGGCTTGACATGCCATACCCACAGTCAATCTAAAAACTATAACAAATTAAGTCTCAATTGTATTACTCTGACTGATTTTTATGGCCCTTTCTAAGGGCAATTTGTTTTGGTGATTGTTCTTATGCTTATAATGCTGATTGATTGGACAATAGTACCCATATATCGTTCCTTATAAAAAATATTTCAACTAGAAATTTTGCTTTAATACAATCAATTGTAATTGAATATATGGTAAGTGATTTCGTATTTAGCGATACGAGGGAGAGGGAGGATCTAGTACTTGTTTTTGGTCATAGGGAGTATGGTATCGGTGGATCGGGATCCTGGTGGCTTGATCTTCCATGGCAATATGTTTATTATATACATTAGTAAGTTAATCTGTGTATACAATTTTACCATGAAAATGGCAATTAGAGACAAAAGAAAGTCATGGCACCAAACCAAATAAAGGAAATTAAACAAATATTTTGACAGCTAGAGAAGTTTTAATCGCTCTCAGATATCTACTCTTTTTCTCTCTCTTCCCCCACGCTTTCTACTTTCCACTTTCTACCCTTTTCTCACCTCTTTTTTCCTTCAACCAAACACAACATTGATACCATAATAACCGTTTAACACTACCTAGTTGCATATGATTTTGATATTTTTCCATCCGAAAAATGAAAGCTAATTAAATAAAAAATATTGTATGCTAGCAGAAGACATTTTGCAATACCAAAAATTGAGTATTGATTATGCAACATTTATGTTTTAAATAAAAATTTATTTTCTTTAGTTATACAATTTAAAATTAAAGTAGATAAAGAGAAAATAAGAGAGAAGTAAAGAAGAGTTAAGAGAGAAGAGACGTGTAGTTGTGAATTCGCATGGTTTATCTGGCATTAGGGATTGTGTTAGTTGAGTTGTTCGACATTATGAACTGTGTAAATAATAGCATGGGCAAAGCAAAGCAAATATTTAGATTCAATAAATTTGACTTTTATTTGGAGAACGTCTTAGGTATTCAAATTGCAAATTGTCGGTAAGCAATCGTTGTATGACATAAAACCCCAAAGCAAATTATAAATTTCTTAGTCCGACAATACATGAGATTATTATCTACTTAGATTTAAAACCTTGAATTAAATATTTTTTAACAAGTCTATATTAAATTGTGTTGAGCTGAAATCTCAAAAACCGATCCATGAAACTAAAGGTTTAAATATGTGACAAGTCATCCATTGCAGTGGGTGTGGCAAATGGCAATGGTGTGGACGCTTTAACAAATATAACATCCAGGAAAAGGACCCCAAAAGAACTCTCAATTCTTTTGGTGCCTGCAAACTCCATCAATCATTATGCAGTGATAGTGCATTAGCTGGGGGAGTAAATATGTTATTATCATTCAATAATAAAATAATAATTAAGTAAGTTTGTAAATGAATCCTACCTTTTTATATGTGGATAATTATTTGGCCCATTAGAAACTGATTTTTTTTCCCGTACAAAACCGGTGTTTAAAAAGTAAAATTGTTGTTAATAAATTGTCGTGATTTATTAGTATTTTTCATAAGAGTAAGGTTACACTGACCAAATTTTGTGTGGAACTCAAATAATATGGCAGCTAATTGAGTTTCTTTATTTGGTGTCATGTCATTTAAGTGTCAACAAAAATTTCAAATAATCAGCTGTCATATCATTTGTGCTCCAAATTAATCACAAAATTTAATCATTATAGCATTATTGTTTTCATAATAAGTGCTTTTGGGTTTTTTATAGTTTGGTTTTTTTTTTTATTATAGTAGATTATGAATAGACATTGTGTTACAATAATGTGCTATCAAAATGGAAAAATTCCAAAAAATCATATCAATACTCTAAAAAATCAATTTTAGTATAATAATTTTAAGAGATTTGGTATAAACTTTTTTTTTTTGGTTCTAGTATCCAACTTGTTTGACTCAATTATTTTTGTTTTTTATAAATCATTATAGCGGGCCCAATTAAGAATATTCAAAAAAATATATAAAATATATATAACTAAAAAAAATAAAATTCAGGGTGGTCCTAGACCCCTCCTCTATCCGCCACTGCCAAAGAGAGAGAGAGAGTGAAGGTTGAAAAGATGAAGGTAAAATTTAATCTGAATAGTTTTCAGAGCGATGTTAGTGGCAGTTAGATGAGTTTATTTGAAACCGTCGGATGAACATATTAAAGTCTTTCTTATTTTATATTATAGATAGAATTCACTTTAAAAAAATTAATTTATATACATGTAATCAAAATTAAGTCAAATCTAATATAAATTAAAAGTCTAGTTTATCAAAAAACATATTGCCAAATATGTTCCATAAAAAAAAGTTTTACAAATATCATTTATAAAATATTATTTTTTAATTAGTACAAGTTATTACAAAATTATTAATTTAAAAGAATATATTAACGTTGGATTTTCTTAAGAGATAAAAAAAATTAGTCTTAAACTTTTGATTCAAGATACCTGTAAGACATATTAGTTTGAGATAATTAATTAAATAAATAAAATTAAAATTAATTATATTCAATATAAATGTGTTAAGTAGTGCCTTGTTTCTTTTATTTTTTGGTTAAATTGATGAATTTTTTTAATCAAAATGTCATTAATGTGTCTTATAAAAATTTAAAATGTTATACTACACAAATGATATTAATGACAAATTTGATTTATTTAATTATTATGTTAAAGAAAATCATGTGTTCCAAGATCAGCCGTTATCGTTGACCGATTGGGGGAAAATATTAAGGAAAAAATGTTAATTTCTTAACCGTTGGATGAATGAATTTGAGATCGTAGAATGTGTCCAAAATCAACCGTAATTGTTGACCAGTTGGGGGGGGAATATTAAGGAAAAAAAAAGGTAATTTCTTGATCGTTGGATAAATGAATTTAAGACTGTAAGATGAGCTTGTTGAAGCCGCCCTGTTTTATATTATAGATTACTCATTGACTTAATTAATCATAACTATTGAATAGATAATAAATTTCAATAAATACTAATACACATGTAGTTAAATTAATTTACGAGAATTATTTTGATAGGTGTGTTTTTATTATTTAAGTAATTCGTACTTGGACAAGTCAAATCAAGAAAGTGTCGACCCATATAATTAATGTTTATGGGAGTTACGATCGAAAATTTATAAACACATTTATTACGTCTACATTTGAAGAAGTTGAAATGGAGAGTAATAGATTGTTGAAAAACTAATTTTGATTTTTGGATCGAACATTTTTTAATTTTTTTGTTTAATAGTTAAAAATATTTAAATTAATTTACGTGCAAATCGGTTAAACACTCTGTAAAAGAAGAGAATATCATAAATGTTTGACCATGGGGATCCCAGCACCAACTGGTACAGGCATATGTCAGGTAAACTGAAAACTTGGTGATGCAATATCTAGTGTTTAAAAGCCTTCAACATAGGAGGGTATTGTAAACCTTGGAACAAGAGAGTCCTATTGTATCTGAAACTTTCATTTTGCTTCAATCTCTTCCCTTCCTTCACAATGCAGCCTGCAAGTGCAACCAAGTTCAGTTCAATGCCACACAAACTGAGAATTCCTTTTGATAAATTTCTTGTGGGTAGTCTCTGCAAAACACTCTTAATTTCAGGGCTATTTCTGTATTTAATCTCCTTATTTCTTTCCAACAATCCCGACTGCCCTGGTTCTGAATTCTTCTCTCCCTTGAGACTCAAATGGCCTCTTCCAAAATCAGAAATTACAGACTCCACCACAAATCTAAACCACCTTATGTTTGGACTTGTTGGTTCTGTCGATGCGTGGAAACACAGAAAAGCCTACATAGAATCATGGTGGCGGCCCAACGCCACAAGGGGATACCTGTATTTAGACACAGCTCCCACAGAGGACCTTCTCCCATGGCCGCCTTCTTCACCCCCTTTTCGGGTCTCGGATGATAACACAGAATTACTAGAAAAGACCAAACATGTAGCTCCAATTATGGTTCGGATGGTGCATGCCATTTTGGAGGTTCTCAGAGAAGAGCATGAAGGTATGAGATGGTTGGTAATGGGGGATGATGACTCAATTTTCTTTGTTGATAACATGGTGGATGTTCTAGCCAAGTATGATCATACTAAGTACATATATATTGGTGGACATTCGGAGACTATAATGTCGAATGTGTATTTCGGGTTCAATACGGGTTTTGGAGGAGCTGGATTTGCCCTGAGTCACCCTTTAGCAGTAGCCTTGGCCAAAAACGTAGAAGATTGCTTCATGAGGTATCCATACTTGAGGTCTGCAGATCAAATTACCATGACATGTATAGCAGATATTGGAGTTACTCTCACTGCAAACAAGGGTATTCATCAGGTAATTAATTCTATATTTGTACCTCCGAGATTATGTCCAAAGCTAAAATAAACTAACATTTTGTTTGGTTTTCTTATACTTTTTCCCTTTAGGAGTAAAGGAGTAGGCTAGACAAAAATCATGGTATGTTTTTGATTATATTAATTTTGGGTTAGATATAAGCCTCTCTCCAAGAATTTTAACCTTGGGAAGTAACTTTTATGAGGTTTTTCACATGTTTGGTTTACCATATTTCTTGGGTTATGCTATTACTATAAATACAAAGTAGGCGTGTGGATGGAGCATATTCTTTGAGTACGAAATCAATGTGCCCTTAAGGTCATGTTTTGAACTTTTTTGTATCCGAATCAAGAAAATTACTTATGTTCTGAAAAAGATATACTTACAGAAAAATTTCATATTCATATTTGTCACTGCAGATTGATCTACGTAATGATATATCAGGTTTTCTCTCAGCCCACCCACAATCCCCTCTCCTCTCTCTCCACCACTTTGATGCGGTGGATCCCATCTTCCCCTCCAAGGACCGTTTCGAATCGACAAACCACCTCATGAAAGCAGCAAAACATGACCAGTCTCGTTTACTACAGCAGACCATATGCTACCACAAACAAAACAGTTGGTCCCTCTCCATTTCCTGGGGATATTCTTCCTATATTTATGAGACACTTATACCCAAAAGCATTCTCAAGAGACCCCTCGAAACGTTTCAGCCGTGGGTGTGGAATGCAAAAGCACCATTTTATATGTTTGATACTAGGGGACTTTCAAATGATCCATGTGAAGCTCCACATAGTTTTTTCTTTGAATCTATAGAGAAAACCAGAGGAGAAATTATTACCAGATATGTCAAAGCTTCACCTCGTGGATTACCAGTTTGTTCTTCAAATGGCAATCACTCTGCTGATCATATATCCAAAGTTGAGGTCTATTCATCACCGACCAAGCTCAATGAGGTGAGTGTGTTATGAGTTTTTATTTTCCAAATTAGTTGCGGTAAAGCTATGGTACTGAAAGGTTAATTTTTAATACGTACTAAAAGTAACTATAAAATAAAGGTGAGTTTAAAACTCAATCTAGTGAGGTCATGAAAAAAATGGTGAAGCTCAACAGTGGTCCATTAAAGCAGTTCTGCAAGGGCTTTGGCATTTGGCATTTTGAATTTTTACTCTTCCTTGGCCTATACCTAGTGCAATGGGAAGGTCGATGCCTCCAACAAGACTATCTTCATTGGAATCAAGAAGAGGTTGGAAACGACCAATGATAAGTGGATCTATAAGTTACTGAACATCTTGTGAGCTTACCGAACAAGGCCTCGATGCTCAACTAACGACACCTCTTATGCCTTGGCCTATGGGATGGAAGCCGTGATACCTCTTGAGATCGGCCTTCTGACCATCAGAAGACAAACCTTCGAAACAAGAATCAATGATCATCCAATATCACGGGAATTGGACCTTGCTGAGGAAAAGAAGGAACTTGTAGCCATTCACTTGGCTAAGTATCAAGAAGAGTTGGCCAGACAATATAAGGGGAAAGTTTGAGCCTGAGAGTTCCTAGGAGGGGACCTAGTACTTCTTATGTTGTTGGAAGTACTCGGGAACCAACCGAAGGCAAGCTCGGTCCCCCAATTGGGAGGGACCCTACAAGGTGGTGTCTTTGGAGGGCTCGGGATCATATGAGTTGAGGCAAAATCTTTCTCCCGACCGTGGATTATATCAAACATAAAAAAATTCATCCATTGAATTAATGAATAGATAGTTTTTGAGATAAATGATAGTTGTTTTTAAGACTTGCTTTTTTGCACGAGCCCCAAGCTCGGTCGTTAAGGGCCATACCCCCAAGTGAAAAATATCTACACCTGGGCGAGACAAAACTTTGCACTAGAAGAGCACTGCACCCAAAAAGACCGAGATATGCCTTCCTTAGAAAGGGATGAATCCTGAGTGTCAAAAGGCACCCCCGAACGTGTGTGCTATGTGATATGCTAAAAACAAGGCAAGAAAGAACCAAAACGGAAATGTCATTGCATATCGAGGGCTTTTCATCCCTTTCAGCATACAAGAAATAGAAATGGCCTTAAGCCTTACAACCAAAGAAAATGAAGAAAAGCAAAATAAATCCCCACCGGGTCTTAGAAGTTTCAAGTTTGGCCATCACCATCCCAACCACCTCCTACTTGATCCCATCCACCGAAATCATCTTGGCCATCGCCGCCTTGCTTGCGGCAGTTAATGTCCCCGAACAAACAATCAAAATTCCCCAAGTCCGCTAGGGTCGAGTGGCCTTGTTGGTCAACCAAGGTTCCAGAGGAGGAAAGTCCTAAGTAGCATCCTGAAGCACGACAAGGAGAAACTGAAAGGGGGAAGGTTTGTCACACTCTGTCTCATTCCCGTTACTTATAGGGATAACAATAGGGGGAAGGTCCTCCCTTGCAATGTTGGTGTCACCTTTAGCTTTGTCCTCTTCCTCATTCAACAAAAGGGTCGACACGAAAGCTTGCTGAAAGAAGAACTCCAATTTTGTACCAACCCTGGCAAACATGAAACACAACATCCCATTTGTCCTTGAAGGACTTGTTAGACTCGGCGATAGATACCGTCAGCTCGGCCTCTGCCATCGTCCTATCGGCCTTGGTCTCAGTCTCTTTGGTTTTCTCAAGCTCAACTAAGAGGCTCTATACCTACTTCAAACATTTGTGACCTTGAAAACTTTGCTCCGATGATCTTTGCACATTCTTAAACTTGTTTTTTGAGGTTCTCTATCTTAGCCTGGGCCTTTTTGCTTGCAGAGCAATTGGCACATAACCGATCAACGCTAACACCCATTTGTTGAGAGGCCTACATTCGACCTTCTCCAAATTAGATGAGGCCTATTGGAAAATAAAAAGAAGACTAAGTGAACTTACCTCTAAGACATTCTGAATTGAATGAAGTAGGCCATTGTCCGAGCAATTACAATGCATGGTCATGTCAGCCTCAAAACTGAGGGCTCTGCTAACTGTGAAGACAACATCTGGGGGCTGGACAATAGAACCAGAGGTCATTACCACTCTATCTTTTTGAATAAAGACCTACGGGTTCCATTATGAAGGCTGACCCTCCAGTTGTCGAGGGGCTTGCGGTAGAATGATGCTCGATGGGGGAGGAACTTATTGGATTAGGGGAACATATGGGGCCTCTTGGCGGCGCTTGGCACTCCTTCTATCTCTAGATTCGCCTCTTGCCTTTGGTATTGATCCACATGCTCTTGCTCTGTTTGGACATGGGAAAACGACAAAGGTTATTGTTCTTAGGGCCGACTACGGGAGCCGGTAGCCCAAGATGAACCACTGGGTCCTCAATGGCTTTCTTGAAGGGAGGCAACCATTCCATTCAGGTTGTCAAGGGTGATCCTCGACATCCTGGACATCTCCGATTCTTTAGAGTTGATCTATGAAGACAAGGAGACAGTGCAAACGGCTTCTGGTTGCTATGAATCCCGATCACTATCCTCTTTAAAGTTTACTTCTTCAGATGACTCGTCTGTCCATGCCGAAGGTTCGAAAGGAAGAGGGGTTTTTTCATCAGGAAAAAAAGAGGGGTTTGGAAATGTAGCCATTTATGTACTTCAATAGCATGTGGGAAAATCATCTGAAAGTCAAATCCTTGGTAGCTTAATCGGATTTTGGAAAAAAACCAAAAATCGAAGAGGCTAGGTAGCTTCTTCCATGACCCCCCCCCCTCATGCCACGTGGCCCACGACATGAGTAAATTGAAAGCTAGGGTAGTTGAAGTGACATGTGAATTGGTTTGCCTATCTCTAAGTGACACGTGGATAGGGATGGGTCCCACTAAGAGTATTCAAACTCATGAGCAATTAATTTGAGGTGGACCCGTGAGGCCGAGCACCTCAAAATCCTTTGGGAGTATTTGTAGAACCCCCAGGGTGACTTTTTTTCCCGGGTCCAAGCAGTAATAATGATCCAACATAATAGATAATAGGGAATGATTAGCTGTGTTGTCATATCCACATGGGAACCTTATAAAATTCTGGAAATGTCGACTGAAGGTATGACTTCTGTTGGCATGGATCAGTCCGAAAAGACACCAGTTAATATTCGGTGCAAACCATTTACATGCTTAGTGAGGCTCATTAAATGCTAGCATAGGTTATTAATGTTCGGACAATGTTCATTAAATGTTCGGTCTCTCGAGAAAGATAAACGTTGCGATGTTTGACCCAGAATGACTGACGACCTCTCCTAGGCCGATTGGTATGATGTTACCCTTTGGACTCCACTTCATCACCTCTTAAGATATAAATAGCTTAAAGGGTTGGAGCTCAGGTATACACGCATAACTCAGCTTATACTGTAGCCCTCATATCCACTCATTTGAATGCTGACTAACTTAGGCATTGAAAGAAATATGCAGATTACACATCTGACCCCTTTCTATCATTGTTTCTTATTTCAAGAATCTTAAAACTTATGCTTCGTTTGGTATGATGAAAAATAGAAAGATGAAAAGTTTGAAGGATAGATAAAATATTATGTTTAGTATGGAAGAAAAATAGGAATTATGAAAAAGTAGATGTATTAACTTCTCTTTCAACCCACCAAAATCAATCTCTCTAAAATTGAGAGAAAAGTAGATGGAAAGTTAATTATGTGTGTTGAAATGTATACTATTTACCTATATATCTGCACGGGATAATTCTTGCAATAGTATGAGACAGCGATCTCCAAACTGGCGAGCCTGAAACAACAGGGTCAGAAAAAAGGGGGTCAGGCGAGTGCTCGGCTAATCCCCTCCGAAGCTTAAGTCAGTATAAGGCCGAAGGGTTTTGCTCAATGGATTATTTTTCTGATTCAAATTTGCGTACTTTTGTCTATTTTGCTGAGGATATTTATACCTGAATTAGCAATGATTGTTAAAGATCTCCAATCTCATCTGGACATCTTATATCTGACACACCATTCTTCGTGCAATGAGTGTTTTCTACTCACGTCTCCTCCTATTGAATGCTAGAAAAATGGGATAAATGCTCGACCAAATGCCGAGCATTTATGCCACTCCCCGAGTACCCAAATCCTGCAGATCGGCATCTGACATCAACTGAGCATTGAATACTCAGGGGGAATAGTTCCTCGGGAGATTCGATCGCATCATCTCGACGCATCAGCCATTAATGCTTAGTCATCATGACAGTAGGCTTAGATTCCAAGAGGGCAGGTGGTAGCAGGCGTGCATTTATTTTCCTTGTCACTATCACTCATTTTGTCATAAATGAGGGGTCAATCACAATAAATAAGATGTCAGCTGTTGTACTCGGCTACTCCGTGTCACCATACCTCGGCTTACCTCTTCGGCACCGTTTGGATATCCCAACAGCTTAATTATTCCACGTGTCAACCTGGGGGCTATAGAGCCACCTAGAGTCCCGCCAACTGCCATCCTTTTTGCAGTGTAAGATAAGTGGCGTAAAGAGATTGGGGGCTCTATCATCACGCCTTATTAATAGCGACGGTTACTTGCACATCTGGTGTCGCCCTTTTCAAATACCCTAATGATGACCCAATTTTTCGATTCCCACTCCCTGTGAGGCAGTATAAATAGGAGGTATAAATAGGAGGTTTTTATACCTTCTCAGAAATTTTGCATCCTCGACCTCTCCTCAGCAATCAGACCCCGAGTGCTCCTTTGTTCTCCTCCGAGTTTCCTTCGTTCTCCGAGCTCTCTCTTTGAAAGCCACCTTCCTGTAAGTACTTTCACTTGAGCTTTTTCTCCCTTCATTTCCTCTGTATTTTGTCCTTTTAGCGCCCACCAATGGCTAGAACTAGTAGAACCAGGGGGAGACGTCTTTTAGGGATAGGACTACCCATAAGATGAGGAAAACCCAAGTGACTGATGAGAATATTCAATCCTTTAGGGTTAGGTATTACATCCGTGAGCCCGTCTTTACTTTTCCCTTCGACCCCACTCACCATAGGAGGGATATAAGAAATGTAGACATGATGTATTTCTGGACGAAGGCCATCATGGAGGAAGGATTGACCTTCCCCCTCCATCCCCTGTTGTTGCGAGTGTTGATGCAACTAAAACTCTTTCCTCTTCAATGTGGGGTTAAATTCTTTAGGATTGTGATGGGCGTAGTCGCCTTAAACACTCGGTTGAGGACCAACTTAGGAGTAGATGAAATTTTATTCTGCTATAACCTAAGGCTAGTCACCGAGGAGCAAAATTACCTCCAGGCTCGAGACGTCTCAATGTATTTGTTAACCCACATGCCCGACTTGGACAAAGGGAGTGTAGACGATCTGATTATGCTCAGCAGAAGTTGGGAAAAAGGGACCAGGCCCGAGTATGACGGATTATACTGCACCAAAGTGCCGAGGGATGAAGGTGTGTTTTCTTTTTGACTCTTTGATTTTGCAATTCTTGGGTCTGAGGGACGCACTGATTTTGTTTTATTTTTGTAGAAGGATATCGCTGGGACACTGCTCAACCCTCGAGGTCCCAAGTCCGGTTGCTAACTTGCTAAGGGTTTAGTCCTCGGACCCAGTGGAGCGAGTGGCGCATACTCTCCTCGGCTACACGCCGACTTACAGTCGATTCTTCCAGATCCCACCTCCTTTCAACCCTTCTGTTTGGGAAGACCATTTCTCGTCGGAAGAGAAAGAATCCAAGGGAGATTCTGAAGAAGAGTCTGATCATCACGATCCCGAGCCCCTTGCGCCTGAAATGTTTAATCCGCCACCAGTCACCGCTGATACAATGGAGGCCACCGCCGCTGCATTGGCCAGGCCTTCCAACATTGCCCCCGTCATCCCCCCGTCTAGTTCTCCTCGGAGGCAACCGTCCCCGCCGCTATCGCGTACGCAACAATCCAAGGACCTGGCCGTGTCGACTAGGCAAAGGCCCCAATCTCAACAAGTCCCCGCTCCGGGAGACCGGCTGAGGGACAGGCGTGCCCAGGACGCCGAACAATCTGAGGAGCGCTGTGTGAAGCGGCGGCATGATGCCCCCCCCAGCCCTAGGCCCATCTATCTCAGGCCGAGACTAGGAGCAGCCGCCCTATTTTGGAAGCCGACTCTATCCTCCAATCCCCCGAAGTGACGTTTGTCGTCGTGGTGGCACTTCAATTTGACACCGATATGGCAGTGTACAAAGGTTATTCAGACAATCGACTTCTGATGAGCACTATCCAAAACAACTTGGTGGTAAGTTTAACACTTTCCCGAGTATTCCTCGCACCCTTTTGATCGTTCCCTAATATTCCTCCTTTTTCAGGCCAGCCAGCAGGTGGGGGCCATAATTGAACTTTTTGGGAATATAACACAAGAGGCGAAGAACGCCAAGGGAGCCGTAGCTGCTAAGGACGACCACATCCTTAAGGTCGAAAGGACCCTCTACGACCAAACCAAGCACATCGTCGAGCTCATCCGTCACCGAGACGCCGTTTATGCCGAGCTGGAAAAGACCAAGGCGGGTGAAGCTGCGATGATAAAGAAGGCCGAGGAGTACGAGCTGCGAGTGTCCTCCTCCGAAGCCAAGCTACAAGAGTCCGAGTCTATAATCAACGCTATTACTGCCAAAGTGGACTCTTTGACAGTAGAGAAAGCGGGGGAGCAGGAAAAGCTGTAATCGGAATGTCAGAGGGTGTGGGCGGCCACTCAAGACCAAATGGTCCCTGTTTTCGAGGAAGCCAAGAAGAAGGCTTTCAAAGAAGGTTGGGACGCTGCCCTTCATGCCTGTCACGTCGAGGTAGACTCGGACTTGTTCTCCGCGCACAGCCTTCAAAAGGAGGCCGATGACGAAGCCCTGAACGAACAGGTCCAATCCGACCTAGGTGACCACGTGGAGGCAAAAGAGCCGATCGGGGCTGAAGGTGGAAACGAACCCATCACACTCAGCGACGGTTCTGACCAGCCTTCTCTTGTCCTTCCGTCTTTACCACCTGCTAAGCCAACATATGATCTACCCCCTCCTCCACCCCCATCATTACTAGGGTGCATGGTACTGAGCTAGATAAGATATTGGGGGTCAGAGACGAGCTACAAAGGCGGTGTGGAGGCCTTGATGGGGGAGGAGCCGGGGAGGAATGAGCCGAGGGCCTTAGCAGTTGGTGGCCTTAGTCACTTCTAGGTTCCGTATTTGTTTCGTAGCTCTTTCTAGCTCTTTTTTGTACATAATTTAGTTACTGTTTGTATGCTTGGGGACGCAAAACGCCTTTTTGATTTTCAATGATTTTCTGCGTAAATCGTGTTTCAAGGAAATGGCCTTGACGTTACGTCAATAAGGACCTTCTAATGTAGCAAGGCTTCACGTTGAATTCATAAAAGTAAACGCGTAGAACTTGCTGTTGGGTCTTTAGATCCCTCGGGACAGAGTATATATAGGGGTGGACTCTTATACCCCTCGAGGTTGTATCCCTAACGACTGAGCGCCTGATTCGTGTTAGTAATTTGAAGGCGTTGCTCCAAGGGTGGAGTCTTACACCCCTCGGGGTCGTACCCCTAACGACCGAGCATGTGGCTTATGTTAATGATTTGAAGGCGTTGCTCCAAGGGTGAAGTCTTACACCCCTTGGGGTCGTACCCCTAACGACCGAGCGCGTGGCTCATTAATAATT